ATGTACCGCTAGATGGGGGTGTTCTCAGATTTCTCCCAAATTATTCGGTTGAATGATTATAAAAACGAAAGTCTCAGCCAAATGAACAGGCTCGATCAGAACCACTTGCCAATCGCGAAAGAAAGGTCCTTCATGCGACCGGACTTTCAACAAATACTCGACGGTGAATGTGAGGTGAAAATTTCAGGAGACATTATGACATAGTTGTCTCGGGAAAAGGTCAGAGGTTCACAACAACCTTTGACATGACCTTCATCAGTAGATTCTACCCTCTTCTTTTTTCTGAGCTTATCCGGACTGACTTTTCGGGTATCCTAGGGAAATGAACTCTGGCTGAATTTGGATCCAAGCTCAAGTAGCTCGTAAAATTGGCAAAGATGGAATGCCTCATACTCCCGAGAAACCTACGATGCTTAATATGAGGTAGGTGCTCCATCATACTCGCGGGGTTAGGTAGCAGGTTTCACAGTGGACTTCAGCTGGTATGCACACTGTCAGATGTTTTGGTTATGTGGTATCTCATGTCGATGATGGTCGAGCGACCACATCTAACGGCGCTGAAAAAGCCCCAGCACCAGACACGAGCTCTATAGATGTCAGTTTTCTAAACGTCAGAGAAGATCAAGTGTCGGATCATCGTCAGGCAAACTGAACGCCACTCCAGCGTCCCAGAGCTTGATCGATGAGCAAAACTCATCGATCCAAAACAATTTCAATTCAGCCGAGATTTCGTCATTTCGTCATTTCGTCAACGCAACCGGAACGAAATAATAATCGTGATACTCCTCGTCCGCTTTGAGTCCAAAAACTCCACAAGATTCTGAATGAAGTTCATGATTTAGCCAGAGCAGAGAAAAAAAATTGAATCTACTCCATACGGCAGAAATATTCACAAGTGCCACATCGCAGTCATTAAGTTCACGAAAAAAAAGGAGAAAAAAAATAAGAATCTACTACATCAGATAGAAATAATCACGAGTGCTTCCATAGATCGCACAGAATTTTCTGTCAAACAGCATGTACTAAAAGGATGGGTGAAAGTTTTCCATAGCCTGAGGTAAATAGTGTGAGCAGGACGGGGGACCGCTGAGCCCGGGCTGGGGGGTCTACAATCCTCGGTATACGGAGACACCTATACGTAGATACATATTGAGGACACGCGAAGAAGAATCAGTATGTCCAGATGTACTCCCGAGAAAGAAAACTTTAAACACATGATTTCTTTCTCAGAATTACATCCGGACATACTAAATTCTAATGGATTATAAAACTGAAAAGTACACGTGTACAGTGAAGAGCTGCGGTTCATACGCCATGCACCATACGGACGCAGGGGAAGTACGATACCGCGCACGGGAGCTCTCAGCCGTCGATCGAGAATATCCGACAGGCTTTCCGATCCAGTGTGAGGGTGGTCCGGTCACGGACCTCTCCGGTCGGGGCGCGACGTCAGCTACCGTCAGCGGCCGTCATGTTCGCGGAAGGTTCCATTCGAAGCGGGATTTAAAAAAGCGTTGTCATGGAACACATTGGTTTCTTCGAATGCGCCGTTCACATGTACCCCTGTTGAGGAGGTGGGGGGATTAGGCGTAGTTTAAAACTCGGATCAACCGACATTGCGTTTCTCGCGAGATCATGCGGTGTCCCCCTTGACACAGTCCGGCATGTGGCGCGGTGGTCTCGAGTCCAAGATCCATGGCGATGGATGCGCGACGGCGCGTTCTGGACGCAATGCGCGCAGCCCCGTTCTGCAGTAGCAGGCCGCGGAATGCTGCAGAAGCAGCAGCTGTGCCGTAGGGGAAGGAGAGAGAGAGAGAGGTCGGAGGTCGGAGGTCGGAGGGCTTATGGTCACCGAATTCGAGACTGATAGCTGGATCGGGGACCCCGTCCAGCTCAGCATTACCGCTCTCGTACAAACTGCGATCCAAGCTGCAGGCTCTTCCACTGTCTCATGCGCTTTCGCGACATGAGATGCCTCTGAATCCCGTGGATTGTGCTCTTTATTCACTCAGATTTCATTCAGAGTTGGTGCAATTCTTACAAGTTGCCGAGGCCGAGTGAGTAGCTCCAAGCTGCGGGTGGAGCTCGGCTGGGATTTTCTCTGCAGTGACTGGCTCGGAGGCAGCCGGCCGCTGATTCCGCATGCGCATGCGTGTTTGAAAGGGATTGTCCACAATGCAAACAAAGTCTTGTCGAGCCTGACGCTACCGCTTTAATCGTCGGCTCTCCGGTAGTGGGTCTACTGTCGACGTCCCATGTGATTCTTCATCGGTGCAACACACAGTGAGATGATAAAGGATTTGGAGCTTTAGCTTCTTCTGTACAGTCAGTCCGTGAGTGAGTCAGGTGTTGGCTAGGCATTGCCGTGGCACTAGGTGGCTCAAAGTACCAAAAGATATCACCAGATCATTCAGCTTCCATGTTCACTGGACCGTCTCTCCCTTTGAAGCAGTCAATCTGAGCTCAGCTGATTTCCCCAGGTAAAGTGGCAATGTCTCATATCTCAATGAATGTTCGAGCTTATCTCAGCAATGTCATGAGCTCATCAAAACGCCCTCTTGTGAGGACTGATATCGGTTAAGATCCGAAACCCCAGAGAAAAAAAGAAAATACCAAAAAAGTTTCTCATTATATAGGACTGGAACACCTCTAGGACAGTCCATATTCAACGTCGTGACAAGCATTTGCGAGAGCATCTGAGCAAAGTAGCTTCAGGTCAGACTACTTTTTTCAGATATCGGTGGAGTTTCTCTGAGACCATCAATTGTACACTGGAATCCATGCGTGCCCCTTCAACCACTCTCTGGACCTGTTGCTTTGATTCCCTATCTCCCCAGGAGTGGACCTCGCCAATAATTCGGCCTTCATTAACACATCAGGAGTCTCGGAATTCGCTCTTCTAAAGAAGTCAACTGCCTGACATCTTAGACCTGATCAATAATGCTACACCTGAGGACAAGTGAACGACGTATAGAAGTATCCAGCTACGGTTTTTATCCCATCATCTGAGGCAACGATAACAAACACATTCTGCAAGACCTCATTGACTTCCTCCTGGGACTAAAATCCTTCGTCTGGCGGATCGATCATGGCTCTGCAACCAGAACCATCTCGAAGGCAAAGGGTGCCCTGACCTTTAAGATCCTTATTTGCTTTGCTTTCGGATCTACATCTGTGAAGAATGCGAATGATGCTTAACCCCAGTGAACATGCACTGTAAATTTCACTCCCTACAACATTCATGTACCAGCTCCAAGTAGTAAGTAGCTCGGTCTTGAGCTCGAGCTGTTTTCAAGAGACGAAGAATGAATGAGATTGCCGTAAACAGGTTCTTTCGATAGGTTGTCATGCAGACGTGTGAAGGCCACATGGGTATTTGACTGGGAATGACCCACTAAATATTAACCAGACCCTTAGATTCTTAGTACTTGGTAGGACTGAAAGGGCAACGCATGCAATTGAGTGCAATGGATGTTAAAGTCTCGAATTTTTTTGGTGAGCCCACAGTCCCTCGACTGGAGGATCATTGAGCTTGCCCTGGTACGCAAGGCTGTTTAAGATTCTCTGAATATTCTAAGTCGAGTTGGAGTTCAGCCATATAGTCACAATAGGGAGACGGATATGAAGTATAGACACTTTGAGTCTCAACAGCTGACTGAGAACCAATTTTTTATGAACTTGCAATGCAATGTCGTATCTTTTTACTCACAGTGCATTGCAAGAAGCACTGTGGAAAAAAAAATAGTGAATGATATAATGTCATCTAGCAGCAGCAAATATCAGAAAACCATTTGATCATTTCCACTTTATTTCTGCAGCGAAAGAAGGGGAAGAATGCAAGCCCACACAAAGGGGCAATCCCCTCTGCAGCCACCTCTCAAGCTGAGCTTTGTGTTCTTTACACAGGACCTTGCGCTTCTGGCACATTGATCAGCTATATGTAAACTATTACCGGACGTAGTGGCTGTAATTTAAGTTTGCATATGGATTGAAGATATTGAAGAATATATTCTTTCCGTAGATGGAACAGCTACAGCAAATTATCCTTGCCAGGCACCGCAGTGTAATCATACATTGTCTCCATGTATTCTCTGCAGGCCAAGGACGACCGGTCCAAAGATGTTGAAAGGCCAATATAGCGTTCACCGGTCGTCTCAGAGGTTCCCGAACGCATGATCTACCGACAACCACTTGCTCAGGCTTTTGTCAACCTTTCGGTTCTGATAACCGGAGGAGACGTTACATTTGGGCTTCCGAGAAGACGAAAATGATTACCCTCGGAAATGAAGAAAGAATATGGGGTCTCCCGTCCTTTTTGGTACATTACGTGCTTCCTACTATAATTGAAAGCAGAAAAAAATATCTGATTTCAGATCTCTTGAGCAGACTCAATTTCTTCTGTACGTGAATATGATTGCGATGGTCAGGAAAACAGTCAATCCCATCACACACCCGATTGTCGTATTAAACACCTGAGATTCTAAAAGTGTTTTGCAACCACGTGAAGTCAAGTCAACCAAAGTAAATGAGCAGCATCTTGTTCGCATGTTAGGTCGAGATGCTCGCACTGCTCCTGCCCATATTGCAGGTCGATCCGGTGAAACAGTTCAGCTGTTCGGCTGAACAGAGGGAACTGATAGAAATCGATTTTCATATTTCAGAGTCGATGAATTTCTGAAACTTAGCGGGGAGCCACTTCGCCCTCGTCGATTTACAACAGTAAATCGAAATTCTAAGTGGCAACGCTACTGACATCTGGCGGCATGCTCTACTCTATGTGCTGATGATTTTGGCTGCTAAAAATTCTCGTTCAGTATAAATCTTCATCGCCGGCGCCGATTAATTTGGGGTTGGAGACATGCTTCGTGTTCCGACTGGAACGTCGCGAGCGTTTCGAGAAGAGAAAGGCTCGTGCGAAGCTCGGATATTTGACCCGAGGAACGAAGAAAGAGTCGAAACGTTGCGTCGATCTAAGTCGAAGCATACGGATGAAAATGCTGCAGGGTCTGCAGATGCGGAGGAGTCACGTTGCGTGGCATGCACAATGTTGGAGTCGGGTGGGTCCCATTCATACGGGGCACGCCAACGCAGCGGAAAACATGCTGCCGGACCTGGCATTCTCTGATAGTCTGGACGGAGAAATTACTGACAATCCAAAAAAGAAGAAGAAGAAGAAGAAGCGCAACGATTTCTCGCCGTCCTAGAAGAAGCGGCAGTGGGAGTCACGAGCAGATTATTTTTCTGACCATGAAGAGCTCGCTCTGCCCAGATCACCATTCGAGATAGATTCCTGGTCCATGCTCTCGGGCAGCGACGGGACGCGCTGCCGACTCCGGAAAGAATTCTGGGGATATTCTGCTTGTGCACGGAATCGGAGACCATGCAAGGGCTGAGATTTGATTTGACCCGAAGAGTTTTGAGCTGAATTCTCAAGGTGGGGAAGACGCGATGTCTCGTAAAGGTACGCCATATTCAAGTCGCACTCCCTCGAGGAGCCCGTCATCAGAAAAAATCAGAGGCCGGTATGTTTCACGAGGCCTTGCAGCGAGTCCGAAATTACGTCGTAGACACAAATCTGCCACCCCGTCTCCGAGGTCTCGATCCGGCTCTCAATCCAGGAGCCAGTCCAGATCGTCCTCCACGGGGAGAAGTGCTCGCCGATGCTGCCGATCGGTGTCCCGATCGCCGTCTCGATCCCTCTCTCGTTGTCGCAGGTGCTGCAGATCTTCCAAACGCTGCCAATGCATGCCCACGTGCTGTCTAGGCGTGGCCCTCCGCCGCCTCTGTCGAGTGAGGCGCAAACTTCCACCCCCCACCCCGTCCAGATCTACTCGACCGAAACCCGTAGCGCCAGCTCTCGTCCACCGTCCTAGCCGAAGGAGAAGATGGAAATTCTGGCCCCGTGTCAGCTGTTTGGGAAAAAAGAAGACGGTGGTCACCAACAAAAAATGATCATGGACACGGCTTTTCTTTGTACCTTCCACACGTCCAGGTCTTCGGTTATCTTGTTCCAGCTCCAGGATCCTTGCCTACCTTGACATGATTGATTGACACGGGCGCCCCTCCCCTCCCCTGCCCTCCACTCCCCTCTCCTGTGCTGCGCTGCACGGGCTTCCATCTCCAAAGCACGTGTGTCCTGCGGTGAGATCCGGTCCTTTCCAACGACGACTACAATGAACATATCCCGATGTCAGTAGGTTTCAACGAGATCTGCAGTGATTCCAAGTGTATAGCACGGCAGGTATTGTACTTAATCATCTGTGATCTTCTGTTAATCATATGGAAAAGGTCTCGATGGATATTGGTTTGTAGTATTGCAGAGGCTTAGAAGTCAGCATCAGCACATCCTCTAGACTCACTTGCACGAGAAGAGTTTGTTAGAGACGCAGAGAGAAACCGTTACCTTTTGCCTGCAGGCCTGATACCTGCGACCATGATCCTGCACATGCGAGATGTGGTGAAAGAAGGCGTCAAAGATTTCAGAGTTTTAGATTTTTGGCATTCTTGAGTTAATATCCAGTTTGTCCTCTTAGAAGCTCGGAATGTGGCAACAGCAATCTTCCGTTTTCCATCTTTTTCAGAAAGCCAGATTGAAATCTGCGTTGGAGTACAGGTTGCATGCCAGAAGAGGAAGCGACCATTGCTCGGTGATTACAGTCTGGAAAGCGTCCTGATCCAGAGGTAATTGTAGGGCGTAGACCTGCTTTTTGCGGAATGCGAACAACCTGATCGGAACTATTGTGAACTTTGTGCTTCTCGTCTTGGTCATGGTTTCATTTTAAATAGATGTCATGAAGAATTACACATGTTCTGCGCTTGTCCTTCTCGAGAAAATGAATCTACTGCAGGATCAGGTATGAAATTGCACTTGGGTGTATTTAATTCGATGTCTTCATATTTTATGCAGTGAGTATTCTATCTGTCATATTATTGAGACACACGTATCCACACATTTTTAAATTCATTCTCATAGTCTATATCTGGGCGAATATATTCACTCAATTTTCAACTCTGATTCAAGGTGGTTGATATGTTAGTTTACTCTCACCTTGGATTTTTCAATCTTCATTCATATTTCTTTGACTCATTTTCAAGCACCTGTTTCCAGTTACGTTTCAACCGGACTCAGATTTAACCTGGAATGATATTCTTGTATGACCTGACTTTTCATGCAATTTTTATATTCCATTGCTTCTATAAGTCTCTATGTCACATGGTAAGAACTGTACTTATTTTGTAGAAATTATTTTTATCGGTTTTTCCAAGTTTTATCTAAGAATCAACTATTTCATTTCATTCTTTCTACTTATCGTGATTTATATTTCAATATGTTTTATGGAAATAATTTGTATAATGTTGATAAAAAAATGATCATTCCGCGAATCAAGTGAATTTAAATATTTTTTATTTCATAAGATCTATAATCATTAAATTTTTTCATAATTCTATTCGTTGAGATATGTAAATTAAATATATTATGTGATAATTCAATGTAATTTTTTTAATATCAAAATTTTAAAAAAATATATATAATTAATTTATTCAGATATAATTTAATAGTATTATAGAAAATTAATTTATATATTACACATTAGTTATATTTTTTATGGTGTGATTTATAAGTTTTACATATCTCAATGAGTAGAATTATAAAAAAAACTCAAAAAATATATTGATGATTCAATATATATTTGAATTATAGAACTCTTATGAAGTAGTAGATATTGAATTCAAGTGAACTATAGAATGATCATTTTTTAAAAACTATGTGCTATTTTATGTAAAATTAAATGTCCTTTTTAAAATTTCCATATTGAGCATATATAAGATTCAACTATTATAGCAAGATTTATTAAAACATTTTTGAACAGCAATTTTTTTCAAAACCAAAAATTTTTTGATTTCAATATTTTCTATTTGAATTTATGGTATTATTAAAAATAAAAATTAAATTCAATAATTTTATCACTAAATTGAAAATATCAATGACAAAATGATCTCCACCTTTGATTTTTCGGCATGTAATTCTTTACCAAGAATATGATCATACAATAATTATTCAGAACAGTTACATTTTTCCCTTAAAATATTGAAAAAAAATTTAGTGTAAATACAGTATAGAAAATGATATAATGATATTTTATAATCTAATTATAGTATTAAATAATTTTCATTTAGATAATTAAAATTAGTATTATTTTCCAATTATAGAATACATATCATTCACATATTTCAATGAATAGAATTGAATTATGGGAAATTTAAATCGATCCATCACGTGACTTCTTCTTTTTTTATGCGTCGTCGGTCGATGTAACGGTAATATAACAAACTTACTGTTAAATTCAACTGTTATCTGCTCATCAAGAAGGCTCCCTTTGAGCGTGTGGTACGTGAAATCACTTTCGACAGTAAGTCAATCAATTTCTCTCTCCAGAAAACAATCAGTATTATTTACAAGCACGTTTTTAGTTGCTCTGCTGCCAAACAAGTCAACTTTTGGTGTGGAAGGCGATACTTGCATAATGCTATCGCCACCTAAAGCATGCTACAACTCTTTGGAAGAGATGATGCAAAGTGTGCAAACCTTTGCACACAACCAAGGGTACGTTGTTGTCAAAAGTCGGTTTGATAACAACAGAGTGACTCTCAAGTGCAATCGTGGTGATACTACACCCACAATATCCACTGCTGAAGAAGATGAATCACAACAACGTCGCAATAATGCTACTTGATTGGTTGGATGTACCTTTCTACTATATGGACGACTGTACAAGCTAACGGATGTTGACATCTTTTGGAATGAAATGCTAAGCACAACCACGAGTCTTCAATCGACATCAGTGGTCATCCAGCCGCTCACCGCCTTCAATCTAGACAACAAGCAATGGCAGTACAGATGATATATGCTGGCATTGCATCGAAAAACATTCTGACAACTCTACGTCAGGCGGACCCTGGCACGATTGCGACAGCGCGCACAATCTATAACGAACAAGTTCGCATTCGTCAAGCTGATCTACAAGGTCGTCTACCTATTGTTGCTCTCATGTACGCCCTTCAAAAAGCCGATTATCAGTTTGAATATCGAACTGATGCAGAGGATCGTTTCATCTTGGATGAGTTCAACTTCTGCGCAAGTATCTATACATAATGATTATTGACTGCACTTATATGACGAACCGCTTTAAAATGCCAATGTTTCATGCAATTGACATTACCAGTAACAAAACATCGTTTACGATTGCGGTCGCATTTCTCAAGGAAGAGACAAAGCCGGCATATCAATGGGTCTTGCAACAACTGGCAAATCTCAATCAACAATCGAGACCGTTGACGATCAACACTGATCGTGAGCAAGCATTGTTGAATGCACTACCGCATATGTTTCCGACGTCGGCACATTTACTTTGAGTCTGGCACAGTCAAAAGAATGTTGTCAACTGCATGAAATAATTTGGACCTAATGAAGATTGGATTGCATTCTTCAAGCACTGGAACAATGTAATCAAATCCTCTTCAGTGGAAAAGTTCACGGCGCACTGGGATCAGCTTCAGTCTACTTACGAGTCCTTACCTAAACTAATGAAACAATTATGACGATTTTGGATATCGTACAAGGAGTGATTTGTATCTACGTGTACCAACCGATATACGCATTTTGGAAACGTTGTCACTTCACGAGCAGAAGAACAGCATGCATCTGGTTAATCCTATATAAGAGCGTCAACAAAAGATCTACGCAATGTTCAAATTCGGTTATTCACACGCTTTCGATAAGAGAGATAGAAGCGCAGAACAACTCTGAAAGGATACAGATTCGTTTTCAACACAATGGATCTTTTTTTGTGAATGTGCTGAGGCGTGTGTCTATGCATGCGCTCAACAAGATTTGTGAACGGTATCAATGGGCGCTAAATCCACCAATCGATGAAAGACAAGAGTGTTCAGATGTTTTTACGAAGACACTGGGTATACCTTGCTGGCATCGGATTAGAGACATGCAGGTTGTCAATCATGTGCTTCCCATGAACGACTTTCATCCTCTCTGACACTTGGTTTACATTGGACAATTGATGACAGCGATTCAAGGTGGCACGTATTCTTCTGAACCGTTGCGGCCGGTTTTGGATGTTCTACAAGCAACTTATCGCCTGCTGGCATCCCATCAACAAAACCAAGTGCGTATCCAGCTATTGAACTTAGCTTCAGAAAGATTGGCGCTCGAGAATCAATTGGTACAACAAACTCGCGGGCGTCCTTTGGGTTCCACAAGTGGAAGTGGAACTCAGAACGGATTTGCAACTAAGAGTAGCTTCGGCAATAATGATTCTTCGATACAACCAGATCCGTCTCGGTTTGAATTGGTAGAGTCGTCTCATGCGCGCACAAGACAATATAGAATCTGTAGATAGACATGACACAATGCGCGTACATGTCCTCAACGTCCTGTATTCTCATCTCAACAACATGATAGTATTGTATTTACATATTTTACATTACAAAGTTATCATTTTTTCCCCTAATTTTACGAACAAAATGCATATACTTTGGTTGAATAGTAATTGGATTTTTGTGAATAGTTGCCAAGTTTGTGTCTTCAAACATATATACCATGTACATCTCAACAATTTCTTGAAAAGCTTGTATGGCAGAAACTTGAAAAACAAAAACTGACATGCTCCAATAGTTCAAAAATGATTTCACGTACCACACGCTAAAAGTGAGACTTTTTTATTGGTAGAAAACAGTTAAATTTAACATTAATTTTATTATTTTAGCATTAAATTGACCTGCAACGCGTAAAGAAATAAAATTCACATGATGGATCGATGTAGTAAAAAGATCGGTCCATTTGACATTTAAATAAATTATTTTAAACACTGTCAAATTTAACACAAAAGTTTTTGTAATATTTCAATCAAAGAAAACATAATTAGCTATTAAACTTAAAAAAATTTAGATCACATTTTTTCGGGCTAAAAAGAATGGAAGTTACTATGGACAATGTACAATGCAGCATTAGTAATGATATTGAGAGGCCATATAAATAAGGTCTACGTATAAGTGTACTAAAATGTGAAGAAAAAATCTACTATCAATTAGTTGTTTGGTTTCAAAACTTTTCACCAACAGAAATAATTTGTTACTTCAGTAACTCGACATCTACTTTTATTTCTCAATTCTGCTGTTTTCTTTACACGTGTAGTTTTCAGCATAGTAGTGATGAATTTACAGTTTTTTCCGCATTTAAACCGTTGATAATTTGTTGTACGTTCGACATTTTTTATTCCGTTATTTTCTCATATTTTTATGTATATATTTTTAGTTTCAATAAGGTAATATTCAAATTTTTTTTTGTTTAAATTGAATTTTCTGTATCATAGTGACAATTTTCTCTTTCTTTAGATATATATGAGGTGGAGTCTTTAAATTGGAATAAAATACGCAAGTTGAAATATCAGAAGATGAAATTTGAAACTGGCAATATTTTGGAAAAACTACACGATTCGATTATGTACGAACAAAGCCTGCTATAAAAACTGAGGCTCATGCTTGATCGATATTTTGTAGCTATACACAAGAATCGCCTGAGCTAAGGTATATTATACTGTCCTAGATCTACCCTTCAAGCAGCTCGTCAAATCTGCGGTCTACAACTATAGATATATTTATCCGTGAACTATAAACTCCTCGAGTGATTAGGTGATTGGAGAGATGAAACATCATCATAGAGAATTCACGTCCATCCATGTCTACATACTGTTCAATTTCATGTACAAGCCAATCCTTCTCCAAATTTCATTACATTCCTCATAAACACTAAAAATCAACCTTGAACAACTGCTTCATGGCAAAAAGTTTCTCCTACTTTACAGTGAAAAATCTATACAAGGACCCAGAGCCAGCTCAATCCCGCACCTATTAAGCTTCCGAGTGTCATGAATGTGACCATTATGATACCAGCCGACTCGGCCTGATTAGATGGGTTACATCTGGGGATGAGGATGTTGAAACATGCAATGAGGAATCCATTTGTGATGCCCAGCACTGCGGTTAGTGTGAACACCATGGGAGTCTTGACAGGACCATACCCGAAAACGGAGAACACAAAGAAGAGCAGGAGAAGCAGGCGGGCCCAAGATGCACCGAAGAGAGTTGACTGTCTGTCGTAAGTTGAGTGCCTCGTCAGAAATCTGCCCAGGAAGTCGAATACTACGTACGTTCCGATGAGCAGGATTGGGTACCAGCTGCCTAGGTATTTCGAGTGCACAGTTTCTGCTAAGAATCCTGGGAATATTGTCATTGACAGAAGAGATGTGATCGCCACACCGATTACCAGCAATTTTACTCGACTCAAAACTGGTCCGTACTCCAGAGGCTGGGTTGGGGATGACCTTCCAGCTGCGATGGCAGCAATACCTGCTGATGCTGCAATTTCAACCGTCACGGTCGCTTCGTCTTCGACAAGTAGCCGTACTGTGTCCAAGTTTCCTAATCCGAGGCTGTCGTAGTAGCCCATGGCAGGCATGTAGTGGACATAAGCGAAAAGGCTCAAAACTCCAATGAGGAAAAGTGGACCAATCGAGAAATAAATTATTGCTCCAATTCTCAATCCAGACGGGGAAGAATTCAGCGACGCTTTGGTAATCACTCGCACGATGAACATGAAAATTCCTGTCGAGACATTATCCAACTCGAATTTAGTCATCAAAGCTGATTTAGACATTGAAAAGATTTCAGACTCGCAAACTGTGCGCAAATGAAGTTTGTTCAAAGTCCACAAATATCTCCTCAATATCTCCTCATTCTTCCTCAAGACGTATCACACGGTGCTACGAGAAACTTTCGCGTTCAAATTACTGAATAAGCATTTATACTCCAGTTCAGATGGACAAACCAAGCAATTTGAGATATAACATGATCAAATAAACGCCGCGAGAGAAAACTACTTTAGCCAAAGCCACAAAGATTTTGGCCTGAGAGGAGGGTTTGAGATTCAACAGAACCGCCACATCAAGTGATGGAAAAAATGAGTCCAACAATGTGCAAGTGAAATATTTTTGGAGATGCGGGGTATCGATCCCCGTGCCTCTCGCATGCTAAGCGAGCGCTCTACCATCTGAGCTACATCCCCTTCATGACGGCGGGGTGAAAAAACAAATTGAATTTGGTAAAACAAGCTGTACCTTCATTGTAGCCAACCTGTAATTATAGCAGAATAGATTTTCCAAATAGAAATCGGCAGGGTTTGGATAGACAGACTACACTGATTAAACGCTAGTGGTATGTTCTGTGACGATCTAGGCAAAGATTTATTCTACGTAGCTGTAAATTCGCAAGCGAATTTACAGCTACGTAGAATAAATCATTTCAAGCGTGTTAGCAAAAGTATTTACTAAGCATAATTTCAGGCGAATTCCACAAGTAATATCAAAGAAATATTTTTCATTTTGCCTTTCCTCTGTGAAGGTCCTGACAGCAAGAGAACTAAAACTAATATTTCCACTTCAATCCTTAATATCCTTACTATCCTTGTAGACTTACGACAAGATTCTTGCCAAGGGAATGATCGAGAGAGTACACATGAAACTTCGACGTGCTCATCTTGACGACCCATTACGTACATTTTCAGGGTTAATAAATATCGCAAAGCTTACAGAGAAAGAATCTGCGTGTTGATGAGGGGCAACTGCACACACACTCAGGAGCGACATGCCGATACAGAGAGATTTTGAAGCTTGTGATTAGGATATAAGAGTTCATTACGTACCATTTAGAAAAAGTTGATGCATTTCAGAATTTTTTTCTACTTGAGTACCTCTAAACTGTTATCAACTTCATTTCAGTTCTCAGGACAATTGATGATGACAAGTCTACTGATTCAGATACTACTATCTAGTTCCGACAAATTTCCTCATAAACGAAAAGCAAACCAAAAAAAATTTCCTTGAAGCTCACGTAGGGGATGTAGCCCGGACAATACAGCGCTCTCTTGTCATGCAAGAGGCACGACGATTGTTACCCCGCATCTCCACTCGTTGCTCAAATCTACTATTTGCAACAGCTCCAGGTTTACTGACCAAGAGACCAATTTGCAAGCTAGCTCTTAACTAAAAGAAAGGGGATCAAAGCATCTTCGGCTTACAATGGTCAGCAAAAGAAGTGAGAGCTAGAGAAGGAAAGAGGCCCAATGATCCAGTCAGAAGCGGGTGAAAGACAATTCGTCGACAATGAGCAAAGTTTTTTATCCAATATTAGATCGACTAAAAACATCAAGCTTGATGTTTTTATACCTTCTTCTACTTGAGTGGAACTAAATCGAAGTCTACTTCGCCTTCACTTTTTTTCGGAACCCCACCGAAAAGTCCTATTACCCAAATCAAGTAACTTATTTGCAATTCGATAACCTCAATCATGGACACTCGCTGACACTCTTTGCAAGAAAAAGGCATTACGAAGATGGAACAGGGTGAAGGCCATTCTAACCAGACAACTGGAACTTTCAAGCCCCAACGAAGACCATCTTCTCACTGAAAATGCAACAGTGGGGATGAGCTGCTTACCAGAGAAAGAAGATCCGCACACATAAGCGTGCGTGAAGCGTTCTGGAAGCTCGGACGAGATGCCCAGCAAACTGCCCTGAGCGACAGCATCACCTGCCCCTGCCAATGCGACTACTGCGATCGTCACCCAGAACGTTGCTGTGGTCCCACGATCTCCTTTGATGAAAAAGCCATCCATCACAGGCAGGACAATCAACGTGAAGATGGAAATCATTAGTCCTATGTTGATTCGAGCCCAGGACGTGTATTGCCGGCCGAGAGCAGTGAACATGCAGTAGACCAGCAACCATGGGCCCAAGTACACCAGAGGAAGCAGGCGAAGAAAATGCGTCATAGGGTAGCGGAAGTTGAAGTAATCGGCACCAAGAACAAAAGTCCACCACGGAAGAGTGCATCCGGCTGCCAGCAGAAAGTAGATGAGATACCCTTTCCACACATTGGCAGGGTCGGGCTTGAAGGATGCAAAGGGTTGACTGTTAATGATCGAGGCAGTCATGTTGGGGATGTTTTCCTTCGTCGTTATGGGCACGTAATCTGCGGCTGTATCGTAAGCGCGCTCAGCTGCCGACGTTGCCGTCTGCACCGGCGCACTCTCCACCACACTCGATGTGGCATCTTTGACAGTCTCTGCCGCCGCCGCTGTCTTCTCTTTGGCCCACTCCATGGTCGATGATCGACCTCAACCTGCTGCTGCTAGTCTCTCCCCCGAGCAGCCGTAGACCTCGCGGATCGATCGATGGACAGACCAGAACCGATGTAGCCAGCCAGCCAGCTACCAATCTCCTGCAGAGCTATTCCAGCCACTGAGAGCTGTCAAAACATATTGCACCTTCGTTTCTTACGACAGAAGCTGGATGCTTCGATCTTCACTCCAGCAGGCCTAAATCTCAGCAGACAGTTCTCCGCAAGCATCGGTAACACCTTATAGGCCCGGTAAAACTCCATTATAAAGCTCTGGAAATGGATGAATCGGCTCGCTGTGTGCATCTGGGCACAGAGTAGACTCTGTCGACGAGAGGCTGACCTCGTGGAGCATCTAACACCAGCTTCGGGACAAGTGTCAATCTCAGAAGCGGGAAACCTCGTGGAGAACTGTCGTTGATCAACGTGAAAGGATTCATGGCAGCGAAAACTATAAGAACGCTCTTTGGGAGAACTCCGCGTGCATGCACGCATTGTGAGGTGTCTCGTTAGTAGAACAATGGTGCTCGGATTCAGCTTATGCTTGATTATTACTTTACAGACCTCGGTCATTTCCTCTTGTGTCCTCAGGCATGTCGGACAGCTACATCGCGGTGTGTACACTCGGAGCTCAATTCGCCACTTGGTCTGTCGGCAGCTGAACATGTGGCTCCAGCTTCCAGTGGCAGTTCGCAACAGGTCCACAGGTGTCTTCGCCATGTGTTTTGTTGTCACTCTCCAATGCCAAGACTTCCCATACATAATCCAACTGAACGAGACAAGAAGATGCAAGGGGAGCACCAAATAATACGGCGAAACAGGATGGCAAGACCCCTTCCTGTCGTACCCGAAGAAACCAAACGTATAACATGGTTCGTATGACGCTAGGAGTATCGAATAATAACCCGATATTTGAACCTCGTTGAAATAGAAAGACAGAGATGCCGAGAGTAAGATAAAAGCAAAAGTAAAAGGGGAAACGAAAGACTACACAGCTAATCACTCCTTCGACATAAGGCTAGTTTCTCGATGGAAGAAGTAGTAGTTGGTCCCATGTACACATCACCTACTGAAGCTATCTGCATTTCTATATGAAAGATCGCAACATTCTATTTACGGGTTTTTTGTACCTGAGAATTTAGCTTTGTGGATTATCATGATTGAATGTGCACGCTACATCCCTTTACCCTACCAGTGATACGAATATCACCATGCAACACGTAAGAGAGAAGTGTCACTCTTACATGCAAATGCATCTTTGCAATATCTCCAAGTTTGTGGGCTCCTCCATTGTGATGCAAAGTCCATTGATACCGTCTATATCAGTATATCAAGTTCTACGAAACTCCTATGAATATACACAATGATGCAAAACTTGATGGGGAGAACCATTAGTTCATATTGAACCAAGTGAGTATGATGGGACTTTATCATAACAACATCACATATATCATGCAACACATCTATTGTAGAAATGTATAAAGCAAAAGCGTGATTAACACTTCTTGATTTCAAGTAAAAAAAAAAGTGGTTTCCTTCTTTTAAACTTTAGAATGAAATAATCTCTATAAAATTATGCTAACACGGTGTCTAGAATAAGCCATCTTATTTGATAGATGTCTGTGACATAGTTTGTACTGCCCACGCAAACTATGTCACAAACACGTTTCAGGTTTCATAATTCACTTGACATAAAATGAAGAGGAATAAGAAGATGTTTTACATTCACTTAGACGTGAAGATCATATAACTATTTACTCTCCATTTGATTATCTAAGAGTATATTATAATCATTTTCTGGTACGTGTATATGATATATATCAACAACATATGTTGCAACTACTTTGAATCCCTTAACAAACGTACATGCTTGATCTATCTTGACTAGATCTAAAGACATATCCACTCTTTGTGTAAGTCTGGTATGGAAGTGTAATGTCATACAAAACAGGACATACTTATTGTTGTCATGGATAGTTATTCTGTAATATCCACATAATTAGTTAATTGCAAGGAGTTATATCGACCACATTCGCACTTCAATATTAATAAATTTGAATATGGAAGATGTAGAGGACCACATCAATCTAGACCTAAACAATTCACTCAAATGTGAGTAATGAAGCAATAAATGGCTAGAAGCAATACATGCAAATGTTTATTTTGTGAAAATTGTAATTGAGCAAGTCAAAGAATCAAATTGCACAAAGATGCATACTTTCAAAAACTAAAAAGGTGATTTTCATCATATGACAAAAAGAGGTTGTCAATCATGTTAATATTGCTTTCTCATCAAATAGAATGTCGAGTCGTACTTCAATCAATGGAATAGAGAGTTAAATTTTAGTAGCTAATATCTAAGATCATGAAGTAAAATATATCTTGTGTACAATTATGATCTATGTATGAAAACAAATTTTATAATAACCTATCTTTCTAAACTGCATGCAACCCAAAGTTAGAACTCTGTTCATTATCTAAAAGTGATATTTCTGCCGTCTCATCCATAGATGATAAGCCTAATACTTAATAAATGATCAGATATGAATTGCTTGTTTTGAGATAAGAAATTTCTTTCTCATGTATTGCAATAATCTCCCTTTGAAAAGTAACCTTAAACTTATCCATATTCACAAATTGCAATTTAAATTCAAATGTGAAAAATTAGAAAAATCATTGAAAAGCACAACTATTACATGCTAATCCATATTATGACAACTTATAATATACATTATTGGATGAAATTAGATATGTCATGTAGTTTTATTTTTTATTATATTTAGATGTCGAGCTTAGAGTTATCGTTTCAAGAGACTATAGAGTCGCCGATGATTTAAAGAACGTTAGTTCTTCGAGTCGAGCCTGTTAGCGTTGGGAGTAGAGCAACTCTCTGTAAGCATCGAATTGGAGTCTCTTTGGAATGGGTAGGGCTCGACTTTTAACTTGTGACGGTTTTAGTGCCAGTGGGGTAATTAAGACCGACGTGTTTTTCAGGGGAAAAACACATATTTTCACTCGAAGAACTGTGATACAGTTTAGTGTGTACGCTCTCGCATTTTATATGTATGTATGTGTGAGTATGTGTATGTGAGTAGCATGTCAGCAATGTAAATTATAGGGCGATACGTATTCATACGACAGATATTCTAAATGTATCAAATGCATGAATAGTGTGATGGTAGTTAGAGTTGAAATGAGGTTGTGATATTGAATAATATTGATTGTTGTGGATAAAGTAGTAATAAAGATTGGAAATTATCATAATAAATATCATGAAAATAAACTTGGATGTATTGCATATAACTTATAAATATTTCATTTCAATTTTTTTTACCTTATAGCTAAACTATTATCAAACGTACATTGTTTTCTTTTTTTTCATAAATATATTAATTGACACAATAATTTATTGCAATTTTAAGAAATATATACTTAAAAATATATTCAATTTTTCACTAAAATTTGTAGTTATCTATGTTTGTAATTTTGATCAAATTGTAATTAATCTTGAAAGATACATGACTTTTAAATAGATTTACAAGAGGGTAGATTGATGAATTTTTGAACACAATCGTTCCAACATTGCAGATGTTATTTTGAAAGTAAATATATGAAGATTGATAGCATGCAAAACCGAAAAAGAAGAAAAGTTTTTAAAGAATATGTTTAATATTATAATCGTGATACATCACACTATATATATATATATACATATACATACACATAATTGTACAAGGATCATAATCAAGAATGGATGGAGCATACAAAATAGATGTCTATATTCAAATAAATGAAAAGAAAGAAACAATTCATGATGATTCAACCATCCAATGAATGGCTAAGGGTTCTAACATTCAAAATGCTTAATAAAAATATTGTGTTCTCAAATTAATTTCTTTTATCTATATATGTATGTTTATAATGATTGTGTAGAAGTGAAACGTGTTTCAATGCTAGGTTAATTATATATTGTATTAACTTGAGTTAGTGATAACCATGGTTAGTAAAATTAACTGTAGTTATGTTAGCTAAAATGTTCACCTTATTTGTTTTTGTATAGAAGAGAAAAATAACCATTCATTACGTACAATTCAATATTGCACTTAGAGAATGATCTTGAAGGAGTTGAGTTTGGCTATAGAATTCACTTATACACCTATGTTTTAGTGAAGTTTTTACTCTTGTCCATGAAAGTAGCCTAGAGAAGTTTAACCACGTTATCTCGATGATGTGACTATCTTGCGTGCTGTGCTGATCAATCTTGATGGTTGGGACTTTCATTCAAAATGTAACACTATAACAATTGTGAGAATGCAAAGACTTTTTTGCTACTTTTGCTTTCAATACATTATAGCGGATTTAAAATGCTGAATTTATGTATTGAATGTTTCAGATAGTTTAAATTTTAACTATGATTTAAGTTTATTTTAAAAATTTTTATTCAGGATTAATTACATAAATAACCCATATTTAAGAAGATATCATAATTTCAACACATCATGTGAAATATGAATGATTATCAATCTAAACTTGGTAAGACTTCTAAAGTAACTTTATGAAGACAATATGAGCTAAACTGAAAAGTTTGAGTATTTGAATTTATAAGCAAGTTAAAATAATCATTTTTGAGTTATTGCACACAAGTCAATTCTATGATGTTGGACGAAAATACAAATTTTTTTTAGAATTTTTTTATCAATATTGAAAATTTCTTATTTGTTTATGAAATTCATGCAAACAATGATAATAAAATTCTTTTTGAAATAAATCAAGTACATTTCTTTCAGTGATGCCAAATAAATTGCAAATTTTCATAAAATGATAAGCATTTCATTATAAAATGGATCGTTTACATATATTATTAATTATTATTCATTATGATTAGAAAATCAAAAATTTTCAATGTAAAAGTTTTAAATATTAATCTAAATTAAAATTTATAAGAAAAATTGAAAGGTTTATCAAATTTGTGACCATTAAATCATAAATTAGAAAAGAGTAACCTATTAAAAAATAACGTTGAACAATAAATATGTGACATCATGTATTATTTTGTATAACTTCATATTGGTAGACTAGAAAAAATTCTCCTTGAACACAACATGTTCACAACTTCAAGTTGAGAAAAACCTTGCCATGATTAATTGGCATCATCAAAGAAAAAGCTTTACTTGGTTAAAAAGAGTGAAGATCTTCTCTCATTAAATAAAGAAATGTTGTTGTTAAGGAGATGCCCGCTCCTACTATTGAAACCATTCAAATTCTTTCCTCCATTCTTCAAACATTGACGAATCCAACGTAAAACTCAGCAAGCTGTTGCAAACATCGCCCCGATTGTGTAAACATGTGTCCACACATCAAATTTGAATGTAATGACATAGACGAGGTTTAAATAGCTTTTCAAGACCTGTTATGAAAAGAGGGCAGTGAGAATAAATTTCTCGCTCTCGATACCCAAATGCCACATTCTCCTGGAAGTGCCTTTGGAAAAAATGCACCAGGATTACACAACTGTGATTTGCATCAACAGAAAAATCTAGCCCCCACAGAAGTAGCAAAGGGCTTTGGTGGAGGTCAGGGGACAAGGAAGCAAGCAGTGGAGACTGGAAAAGGATCCGTCGGACCCAACGAGGTGAGAACCGCCTCAGGGGGTGGAGTCCCGGTAGACTGTACACCTCCCCCAAATGGAACCCGTAGCCGAATGATGCAGCTCGTCCGCGACCCTACGAAGATCGGTGAGCACAGTTCGGATGCAAGAAGCTCGGCTATTGGGCACCAGCTTTGCAGCTTGGGAGCATTTGACTTTACCATGATTCTCGACAACCTGCTTGCTCTCTGGGGAAGTTGTCATCTCAGTCGAACTTTTCGACAGAAGCTTCCGATTCGACGGAACGCAGCATACGGCAGTGATCAGTGCCATCTTCCGATTCGGCGATCCGGAGTTGACAATTTTCCCTTCTCGCATCGATCCGGCTCCTGGTTGTGCTGGACTCCGATTTCAACGGAAAAGACCTTCTCCGCACACACCGACGCTCAATCGTGAGCGATTCCCTGCGCATCTCACGAGGATATCATCTCGACTGCCGTCGTCTCTGGAGAGCTCGCAGCCTGCGACCGGTAAGCCTCAGACGCGGCGCAATGGCCGGTAGAGGCAGAGAGTTACAAGATCGAGGTGCTCACAGCAGACTAGTGAAGAGGAAATGGCTGAAGAGGACAACGTGAATGGAGAGAAGGTGGCAATCGGAATCGAGAATTGGTGTGGTGAGTTTAAGCTGACACTGCTGCTCCTTTACAGTTTGGACAAACACAGGGTGCACGTCGCTTGTGGTCCAATGCTCTAAATTTGGATTTCTAGCAGTCTCCAAAGCTAAGCGCAAATGATTGCACGAAGTTCTGCAGGAAGAGTGTTGGAACTATCGATCAGACAAAGTTTATGAGGTGGCCAATCGTCGGTGCCCAGCATCGTACTTCTCAAAAGTTTGTTGAGTAGCCATGTCATTCAAAGTTTTGACATTAGCTCAGTAAACCAGAAATCAAGACGTGAAAATTGAAAGTAACCTGTAATCCCATCGACATACGGATCAACATCTCGTCTCGATGCTGCTACATTGATTTTCTTCGATGATTCATAATAGACTCGTAGGTTTGTTTCACAAATGTCTGGATCGCCAAGTCGACTGTGTAATTGCAAGTTGTCGACGCGTTTTTCTAGTCTCGAATCGTGCACTCAAACTCGCAATATACCAAACAAATGATCCTTCCGCATGGTAAGGAAGCGTCGCGCTTAAGCGTCTTTGTCATGCGCAGATGGCTATTCACCTAGTTTATGGAACTATTCTTCCCAGTTGGACTGATTGTTGTTCGCTCGTACAGCTTGCTCTCACTCTGTATGCCCGTGCACCTTCCACAAGTTGGTGCAGCATGCTGCATTGACTGTTTCCTACGCCAACGCTGGTGACCATCATGTTTTATCGGCGTACCTTCTCGTGGCCTTATTGAACTTCTGTCCGTGTCGTCCCTTCACTCTCGACATGGGAAGGTTCAGAGGAATGCTGTTTCGAGATCTCCAGTGTGCTGACACGACTACCAGGGCGAGAATTGCAGTAAATCTTCATACACCACTGGCACAAGTGTAAGATGTTTTACAATTGTTGTCAATGGCACCTGACGAAGAGATTATCAGGGAGGCTCGTACAAAATCTAATTTGCTGCCAAACTATCGCAGTCTGCAATCGATCGCCCTACATGAGCAATTCAGAAAGCCGCGTTCGATGCCACGTTCAACTACCAGAGGAGCCGACCGGCTAAAAATCCGAAATCCGACTCCCACTCATATACTCCTAATCGTCTCCGCTCAAATGCCGGGCACCACCAAAACATCATTCAGTTCGAAGGAAATACCTGCACTCCGCAGCTTCTGCCAAAGTTCGACGAGCTCCGGATGCAATCAGGAAACCGCGACAGCTGTAGAGAATCGAGAATCGAGAGTGGAAAGAAGGTCAGGGCAGCTCAAAAGCCGGGCACCACCAAGACATCATTCAATTTGAAGGATATAACTGCGCTCCGCAGCTTCTGCCAAGTTCGACGAGCTCCGGATGCAATCAGGAAACCGCGACAGCTGTCGAGAATCGAGAGTGGAAAGAAGGTCAGGGCAACTCAAAAGCCGGGCACCACCAAGACATCATTCAATGTGAAGGATATACGTGCGCTCCGCAGCTTCTGGCAAGTTCGACGAGCTCCGGATGCAATCAGGGAACCGCGACAGCAGTCGAGAATCGAGAGTGGATAGAAGGTCAGGGCAGGGCTTCGATGCGCGGCTCGAACACGAAGTCGCCTCGGAAGGTGACGCCGGCATTGCCACATCGAAGGCGACGCTTTCGCAGAGGATCGTGCGAGCAAACGCGAGCGTTCGAGCAGGACCACCAGGCGTTGCTCGAGACGTCGAAGAGGCTGAGGTGCTCGATGGTGCAGGCCTGCTCGACGGCGCCGAAGGTGGCTTTAGTGTAGCAGAGCAGGTCCTGGGGCCGGGCCCGGGCCAGCAGGCGTGCGCCTCCGGGCGTCGAGAGGTCGACGAAGTGGCAGGGCTGCTGCGGGTGGGGCGCATAGCGCTCGAGCCAGACGCCGGCCACCACATCGTCCCCGACGCGCTCCCATACGAACGCATCACCGTAGCAGAGAAAGTTGCGCGAGTCCGCCAGCGGCTTCAGGTGGCCGACGAGGAACAGACGCCCCCCGCAGTCTTGCAGCTGCGGGTATTGCAGGCCGAGCCCGGCGTTGGGCAGATCGAACGAGCTCCACTGCTCCGATTGCCCGTCGAACACGAACACCGACGAGGCGTCGCCGCTGAAGCCTCGGCCGATGTAGAGCACGCAGCCTTTGCGCGAGATGATGGACGCGTTGAACCCCGGCGGTTTCGGCCCATTCGTGCCTCCCGTGGCCGGCAGCAGCCTCCAGCTTCTGCTGCAAGAGTCGTAAATTTCAGTCCCGTACATGAAGCTGGCCAGAATCACCTTGTACGCGTTGCCCTCGCCCCCGATCATGCCCACCACGCACGGCCTCCAGGTTCCAATTCGCTCCGGCAGGGCCATCGAGCAGTTCTCTCTCAGCGGGTTGCACACCATCAGGTCCAGGTTCTCGTTGTCCTTCTCCGGCCAGAAGCTGGTGAACGAGTAGAGCCGCGGAGGTCGCTGCGCGCAGAAGAGCAGGCCCCTCGCCGTGGCCAGCACCTGGTAGCCGTATCGGGACGGGAAGTGCTTGAACATTCTGCTGTGGAGCTTGTTTAGCGCCGGGTCGTAGCAGCACGACTGCGGCTTCCTGGAGCCGAACCATTGGACGCCGTGCGTTTTGAACAAGAGGAAGTAGCGCTCGGGCGGAGCTACGCGAGCACGGAATTGCATGAACACGGGGCAATCCCACATTGACGACCAGCTCTTCGACACCACTCTGAGCCGCGCCAGAGTCCGGAGCGGTAACCACGCCAAGATTGCGAGCAGAATCTCGTGTGGCAGTCTTCCCCACAAGCTGGGATCCATCACCTCGCGCCTCCGATCGCCCCCCGACATTTCCCTCGAATCACCGACTGGAGCTCCGGCGCTCCTGCTCCTAAACGCGCTCATCCGGACGGAATCAAATCATCGTCAAGGAAGTCGCGGAATCCTCGAGCAAAAACACCGCTGCCGCATCGCGAGAGCCGAATGCAGCAAGACGATAGATAGCGAGCAATCCCGACGCGAAGAACTCGTGCAGTAGATGCGCGCTCAGTCTCTCGAGCGACGCGGATCCACGCTTCAGATCTGCATTTCACTCCCAATGCACAGCTGCGGGCCGCCTCCGTCTCGCAATGCACAATGTGAGCAGAATGCTACGACCACCCCAGGATTAAAATACAACTTCTTTTCCCGGGTGTGGATAAAACTCATGTGGTGCTATCGATTTCCGTCGCAGGGAAATCGCTGTCAGGCTTTCCCTTGCATATAGTAATCGGATGTCAATTGGATGAGAACGAGCTCGAACTCCAAGAAGTATTGGAGTTCTTGAAGGAGTTCAGTCAGACCGGCCTCGGGAAGAGGAGCCCTCCGCAACGTACGAGCCGAGCCGAGCCGAGTAGCAGCAGCGCACACATCCCGTCCCGTCCCCCACCTGTGCCAGCCTACTTGAGTGCCGCCCTGACAGCGTGGACAGTACTTGTCCAACTCATCCGAGTGCACCACTCGCCTCTGTACTCATCACCCCCGTCGTTGCAGTTCGACGGACTTCTATCACACGAAAAGGGTGCAACCCACCGCAACCACATTCTCCACCCTCCGCACCAAGTCCATGCCCCTCTCGCCCTCTCGCTCCCTCTCTCTGCCTCGACCACATCGCCACTTCGTTTCCGAATCCTTCCATCGTTCGGTACCTCACGTCGATCGCTCCGCACGCCTCATTCATGCAATAAAGCTTCTCCCCAACCGGCACCAAAGCATTTTCGGCCGCCTCGCTCGTCCTTTTATTTTTCTCGAACACCCCTCGAATCATCGGCTTTTAGAAAAATAATACAAGAATTAGATAAAAAAATTCCGGCTCTGGCGCTTTTTGAGAAACCCCGGGCTTGCTATATTCGCTGAATGACGTTCTATTTTTTCTCGGGTGTAGTTCGAATCTTGAAAATGGTAATATGAAATAATTTATTTGATACAAGTGGCAGATGGCGGCAGTTATAATCAGCTGAACGGAGGGAGCGAGGGTTCTGGAAGTACCTCCTGTACCGGAGCAACCGCTTTGGTGTATAACGGGCCCTTTGAACGGTCTGCCGCCTTCGAAGACCTTCCATTCCACTTCCTGGACCCCGGTAACCGAGCCCCGCCGACTGCCGGTCAAAAGTTCGTGCGTTCCTCTCGTCACTCCTCCTACCGCTCGAGAAGCCTATACCGGTGACGTGTGAGGGCTGCCCAGGAACTGCGGCTTTTCCAGTACGGTACGAGAAGGGACCTTTAGCCTCAACCCTTTAGGTCCATATTTCTCCCTCGAACGGAATTCCATGTTGACGGAGTTACAGAGTTCTCTCCTCGTAGGGATGGAGGTGTGAGGCATAAGCTTTCAGTCGAATGATGACCCGGACTCGTAACTGGATCCATGCAGAGGATTCGCAAATCATCGGCTGGAATAGCGAAGGAGGGCGCTTTGTCGAAGAAATTATGTACACCATAAATACGTATAAGTACTTGTTAATGTATATATATGTATTAGTAGAAATTTCGGGACAGGTTGAGGTACTTGGGCCGCCGACGAACTAGGCGACAAGAAAACACCGCAACTTTTCCAACAAGTGCTCACGCCGCGATTTGGGAACTGTAATGCTACGAGAGTTGAGATTTCCAGGTTTGTGGGAGGTCGACAGTAGGGAACTTGACCGTAGGTAGGAGCTGGGTTCCCAAGGGTTCGACGATTCGTCCAAGCCTTCATCGGGACAGCCCGATTCGCGTTCACTGTCTCGACGGAGGTCTACGGAGGTGGGCCCGGCATTGGGGTAGGGACAGTAAGGAATCCCCATTGAAGATAAAATGGGCGTCGGTTTCGGGCCTTCGCTATCTGTGCCGCCATTCTGGCCCACGACGGTCACAGAGCGGAGGTGAATAGATGAAGCTCGCGGTTATGACGTTTCTGAGAGACATACAAGGAGGAGCCTCTAAAAAATCCCGACGACGTAAAGGAAAAACGGGGACGGGTGACTCGGGTCCAGCCAGCCCATTGTCCTCATCGCAGCCACGTGATCGCCGTCACTCGCATCGGATGGATGGAGCTCGGGAAAGAGTACACTCGATTGGCCGGGTGGAGTAGCATCCCTCCTGCGCAGGGTTTATGATACACCGGTCAGAAAGAGGGACTGGTGGTCAGGCGCTGTTGTCACTCGGTTCTTTCTGCCGTCACAAAGACTCGCTGGGTCCGAAAGGTTTTGTGTGGGGCATGAATTCATGGCCGCTGTTCGGGACCATCCCCTGCAGATAATGTGATGCTACTCAATTGGTGCCCGAGTGGACTAACTGTCTCTATTTACTCGTCCTACAGTACGGCAGTGTTTGTCATCATAGAACAGAATTTCCTTCTCCCTTCACATGGTCCCATAGAAGCTCAACAAAAGTGTTGAGGAAATGCCGAAACTGATGATCTTCCACCCCAATCAAGCAACCACTCGAGACTAGAACCAGACCAACTTATATCACACTGATAGAATTGAGAGTGAAGATTACCAAACTTTTAACTTGGGTTGCCACTTTTCTGTCCCACACTAAACATGTTATGATTTTTTTTTTATTAATAAAGAGTGCAAGTGACAACAGAGGTACAGAGATACGAGACTACGACTTGTACGAGAGAGAGAGAAAGGAACTGTCTCCAGTACTTTTGATCCTCTAGTATTGTATGCACCGCGTTGTTGTTTCTTGCGTCTCCATCGATTTAGCTTCTCCATTAGCCATTCTCTCCTTTCTAGTTCAAATGACATCTTTGTCGAGACACTGTATTAGTATATGGAAACAAAGAAGAATCTCGTAGAAGAATATCTCATGGTACAGAATTGAGACCAGATTCAATTGAATATCGTGTAAGATGGATTTTTCTAAAAGTTTTCGGTGCTAGAGCTTAATAGTTCTCATTCCTTGACAAAGGAATCAATGACATGCAACGTTTTTCTAGAGTTGTTCTAAAAGAAGAAGAATCTTGAAAAATTAATTATTTTCATTTGGGTTTCTAAAGTTCTATGAGTGACGAGAGATCAATTATATATTACAATTTTGTAATTTATAATTTTATATTATATATTACAAAATATATATTATATATTTTGTAATCTACTCAGAGGAACACATGTATTACTTAATTTACAAATTTGTAGCTTCAAACTACAAGATATCACTCACACAAGTGATCCATTTGAGTAGCACATATAAATCTACTCTCATCCATCAGGTATTGGTGTAAAACATAGAAATCTCACAACACTATGTACTTATACATGCACTATGATTATGTAACCTAATAAAACTAATCTTTTTATTGTTTCAAATAATAATACCATCTCTTACTTGAAAAGTGAAACTTTTCGAATCTTTCCTCAGTGGTATATCAAATCCAGCCTAAAAAACTAAATAGAACCTCTTATTTTCTTAAGTATCTACTTGTAAAACTTCTTACATCCTACATGTCATCTAAACTAACATCATAGATGAATACATATTTATTGATACTCCTTGAGTAGGAAACTTTTTGAATATAAACATAGATATAATAGCAAGTTTTCCTTTGATCTATTCTTTATTTTTGCTTTGTGAAGATACTGGCCCATCAAAATCTCTTAAACCATCTACTTTATTCTTGAAAATCTAGCAAGATTTAAGTTGTACAATAACTTCTAGTCTATCTAAAATAAAATTTGTTATAAAATAATCTCAAATGTGAAAAAATCTTTGGAATTTTTTTATCTACGTCTCATTTTCATCTGAGGCACGTACAAAATGGCAAAAGCAACTAAATAGAAATCTTTTTAACTAAGTAATTGAGGAGTAGTACAAATTCGGTCTAGACCTGTTACTAGATTCATTTTTCCTCCTTAGATTCAATATTTAAAAATAAACAGTCATCTTAGTCTATTAAAAATAAATCGTATACCCATAACAAAAAAATGAATTATTGATCTACAAAAAGGTAAAGAATAAAAGTTTAATATAAACAAGAAATTCAAAATTTTATGCATGTTTGCAATAAGAAGCAAGTACATAGATTTTGATTTTTAATTTTTTTAAGCAACAACTAACTAATATAGATTGAATTTAACTATATGAACTAAAAATATATCTTTGAAAAGAGCTGTGATTCTTTCATGAAATGACATCTGTTGAAATATCTTTTCACCAACATAATTTAATTTAATTTAATAGCAAAATACTTAATTTTTCTCACAGACCAAAGTTTGCGGTGGTGTAATTACTACCGGACTATAGTTTTGGAGTTGAACTCATGGAAATCATCAGAGGATTTATGTCTATAACATATGTCATATTCTATGCGGTTATCATCTGAAACAGGTTTTGTTTGTTTTACTTTATTATCAAAATATCGACTAATCATACTAAAAAAAAAGGCAAATCTGAGCTAAGCAGGTGGGAAATTTAATAGGTCATGTCATGGCTTAACAAACTCTAAGACACTTTGTTCAGAATGTCAAGTGCGAACTTGTGGTTATGTCAAGTTCGCACCGATACAAGGAAAAAAAATATCTCCTCTTGTTCATGAAACCGAATTAGATTCCAAAGCTCTTACGCGAGTCATCCGTCAGGCAAACAAGAAATGCATAAGGCCTTTCAGAGTACAATGTTTCACCAGATCCATTCAATCGATGTTTCAAGGAAAGTTTCTCTCTGACCTGTATGCAACATATATGCAAGCCTCACTCAAAAGCATATTCAGGACATCCAAATCCTGAATCTTGTACTATAAAATCCCTGAACTAGTCAAATCACAGCCACTGGTAGGCTATTGTATTTTTCCATGTGAAACTCCAGCCCAATTTTCATGAAGTTGTACCAATAGAAATGTATATCTTTTTAAAGAATCTCTTCTCTCTACAAACCTTCATAGGAATCGGTGTACAGTTTACTACCTCCGGAGAAGAATACCGAAACCGATACTTTGCTCGGTCTCTTGTGAGATACTTGGATTTTGTAGATCCATATTAGCCAAGATAGATATGTGATTACTTGGTGTAGGTTTCGATGAGTGTCACTTATTCTATAACGATCTTTATAACAGAATTTATCCTCTTTTCTCTCAACATGATTTTTCCATGGGTGGCTATAGATATTTAATTTACATAACCTTTTCAAGAATCTTATGTGTCATGTTTCATCATAGAGCTTCTCTCTCCATTGCTTTCAACGAGCCAAGGTGTATATTATAATTCTTGGAATATAGTACCCACTTTGTTGATCAAATTGTTCTGACTTTATTTTAATGCGATAGACGTGACATATTGTGTTGTCCAGTTCTTAGTTCCTGGCGAAAGGTACACATGTATAGAAAACATTTCGCTTCGAT